AGTGGAACAGAAGCATTTTCTTTGAAGAGTTCCCATAAGCTGGACATGGTGACACACACCTTTAATCCCAGCACTTGAAAGCAGAGGCAGGCAGATTTTTGTGAGCTCAAGGCCAGCATAGCAAGTTCTGAGGCTGGCCGGGGCTACATAGTAAAAGCCCAGTCTGTCCTTGACCTCCAAATGTGGCTGAGGAGGACTTTAAACTGCTGATACTTCCACCTTCACCTCTGAAGTGCTGGGACTGCAGGCATGCACTGCCATGCCAGGTTTACGTGGTGCTGGGCTTCATGCATGCTAAGCAGGCACTCTACCATGTGAGCCACATCCTCAGCCCCGAGTCTGAGTCTCAGGGTTCTTCCCTCCACATTGCCTTTTGGGTTTTATTGGTGGCAGCATCACATAAGAGCAGCTGCCACTGAGGCTGAACCCATGGTGGCCAAGGGCATCCAGCATGTAAGAGGGCAGTAGAATTGTAACTACAGCAGAGATGGGCCCCGCCAGTCAGAAGCCCTGTCCCAGTCACAGTCATGAACCACGTGCCTACTCTTCTAAAACATCCAGTCTTTGACGAGCCCTTTTTGGAGGGGTTTTCCACCCTTTTGTCCAGGTTTTTGGAACTTTGACCCTGCACATTTAAAAGAATGTCCTCCCCTCCCCAAACTGAACTAGTAGATGTTGCCAGGCACAGATGTAAAAAGTGAGCACTAAAGACAAGACTCTGGGCCTCCCCAGAGTATTTCTACACAGCCCCAGCTTCACATTCTCCACCCGGGAGTGTGCCAGAAGGCGCTAGTGTTTCCAGTATTTTCTACAAATGACCTGGAAGAGGGAATTCTGAAATGCTTCTCAATGTCTGGGGCTCAGCTGTAGTGTCCACTCAGAAGCAAAGACACCTCCCCCCACCCGAGTCCTTCCTGCCCCTCCCCCCCGCAGCAGGCTGTGCCCACAGGTGCCGACCCTCCAGGGCCCCAGTTTTGGCCGTGGTTGGTGTCCTCAGAGTGTGCTTACTCCTGCTGTTCTTGACTTGTGTGGCTTCTCAGCTTATCGTTTTTATTTTATGTGTCAGAGTGTTTTGCCTGCATGTATGTAAGTATGCATGCAATGCCCATGGAGGCCAAGAAGGTGTCAGATGCCCTGGGACTGGGAGTTATAGAAAGTTGTTAGCTGCCATGTGAGTGCTGGGAACGGAACCCGGGTCCTCTGCACGAACAGTCAGTGCTCCTAACCACTGAGCCATCTCTCCAGCCTGTCAGCCTATTTTTTTATTTCCCAATTTTTAGTAGTCACAGGTACAAGAGACGTTTCACCTTCTGCATAGTTTGTCCCTGTTGACAGCAGTACTGTCACCAACATGAGACAGCTGTGACCCTCTGCCTGGCTGGGAAGTGTGCATCTCTCCGTGAGAGCATGCTCCATGAGAGCAGCCTCACGTGCACAGAGGGTCCTTGTCTTTCGACAGTCTGCATCTGCGTTGGCACTTTACGCAGTCCCCCATCTTTCCAGTGTCATAGCTTCTATGAAACACCACACAAGACTGAATACCACAAGGACCTGCCAAAGAACTAAGCCTCTGTGCTCACTCCTTTCTCTCCTTTTCATGAAACTGTCCATCTGCCTGTGCATCCATCTGACATTCATTCATTCATTCATTCATTCATTGACTCATCTGCTCTAGGCCGTGACCTCCACTGAGCTGTGGAGTGACTCCCTGGCTGCTGCACACTGGAGGAGCAGATGGAAAGGTCTGGGGAGCCCAAGGGAAGGGGTACTTCCCAGAGCATGTGTCCCTCCAGTTAGTCTATAAAAGACAACTAGGCTTCAACACTCACAGGAGAGACTGTCTTCCAGAGAGACTGTGCAGCTCAGAAAGGCAGGGAGTAGACACAGTAAGGAATCGGCACATGGCAGTGGTGGGGGTGGTGAGTCCCCAAAGCCATACTGGGAATGACTGAAGATACTGAGCAAGGATGTCACCCAGGACAAGGGGCTCCAGACTCAGTAGCTGGAATCACTTCACCAGCTCCCTGCCACCCCATCGTGTCCTGGAGGAAAAGGGCTTTGGGACCCAAGGGTCCCCCCTGAGCCCAGGGACCAAGAACAGGGTTGCTGGTGTCCTGTAGACACGGTCCCTCCATGGCAGCATCCCCTGTGGAAGTCCTAGACCCGGAACTGGAAGTGAAATGTGCAGGGTGCTAGAGGACTGATGAAGATGGCTTGGCTGTGTCACATGGAGAGAGAATAGGCCCAGGGTGGCAGTCCTCATTCAGCCTGCCCTGTTAGTGGCCTGGCTTTCCCCAGTCTGCATGTGAACAGTATCTCCCAGGATCTGCTTTTATCCAATAACACACTTTTGCCCATGTCTGAGCATCATCCAAGCAGGGAACCCGAGCTCCTATGGGGAACAACACAAGACACAGACCGACCACAAGCCTTCCCCTCTCCTTCCCTTGGCTTGCCCTTCACTTGTTTGAAGGTGTGGGTGAACCCAGGGGTTCCCTGCCCTGCCCTGCCCTGCCCTGGGGTGAGCCTAGAACCAGCTTCAAGGCCCAGGGGGAGGACACAACCCCCTGAGTGGGGACAGGCACCTTCTAGAACAGAGGCTCCCGAGGACCCAGCAGGGGGTGGGAAGGAGCTGAGGTCTAAGAATCTACAAGTGGAAGACAGGGGTGTTGGGCCCAAGCTGTAGCAGTACCTGGGAGGTGGGGGATGATCCAGTAGGCCCCCAGGGAAGCCTGGGAGAGCAGACAGGTGGGCCACCATGTCCAACCTTTTGACTTCTCTGGGCCACACAGTCATTTACAAATGACTGTGCTCAAGTCAGTTTGTGCTCAAGAACAGTGTAACAGCTTTTTAAAAAATGCCAGAAAAACCAAAAAAAGCAATGTTTTAAGTAAATTTACAATTTTGTTTTAGCAGCATTCATAGCTACGCTGGGTTGCCTGGTCCAGCCTCTTCTGCCTCCTTCTGCCCTGGTGATAGCCCATCCTCCACTGCTCTCTACTGGACCACCTCTGTGACTTAAGTCTTGGTCCTTTAGTCTCCGCTGTCCTCACCTGGCCAGGCCTCTGTGGTCCTGCCAGGGCCCCCCCAGACATGCCCTTCCGGGCCTCTGCAGTGCCAACCTGCCTTTGCTGTGACTGTCTGGTCCTACCTCCCACCTGCAGCCCATCGAGGGGTGGGTGTTTACTCTTGGCTGATCATACTTTACTGGCTAGCTCAGAACCTGACCCCAGTGTCCCTCTGAGCCTGAGATGGTCAGTTACAAGATCCTGGGGGCCCTAAGAAAGTCTCCCACAAGAGCCCCTGACAGTGACATCTCTTTCCTCAGCCAGTGCAGGCCCCTAGCAACAGTACAGCAGCAATAGCAGGCTGTTCCCACCAGAGGGCGCACTGGCCTGGCACTGCTCAGCTGGACTGGGCTCTACAAACCAAATGCTTTTTAATTGAAAATTTTTTTAATTCAAAAAGGATTTGCTGTTTGTACTCAAGTGCAGGTTTCCCTTATGCAGAAGACTAATGTCTTGAGTAAACAGATCCGGGCCCAAATCCACCTTCAAAGGTACTCTCTGTTTGCCCAAGGGAGTGAAAGGCTTCCAGAAGCGGCCCTAGTCTCTTGGGCAAACATTTTGGGGACGAGCAATCCCGGGTGGAGGACAGCGTCTGTGAGAAGGTTATCCACAGCCTGAGGGGGATTATGTCGAGGGACATATGTTGAAATTTCATTTGGGGAATTAGGGAAAACAGATTGGGGGTGGTGATTTTCTCCAGCCAAGATAGCCTTAAAAGGGAAAAACTCTCAAGGGAGAGAGGTGGGGGACCCAGGGATCTTCATGCCGTGTCAGTCCCGGGGTGGGGGCGGGATCTTTGCGTGCTCAGGCTGTAGGGCAGGAAGGGTGTGTTTGTGACTGCCCCACTCTACTCCAGCCACCCCAGGGTGCACACAGAAAAGAATTAGGAGGGAAGACTGGTTCTTGACCCTCCCAGAGACCCTGTCCTACCCCCAGCCACACGGATGGGCAGCATGACCCCCCAACAAGGCCCCTCTGCCTGCTCAGGCAACTGCTTCCCCACCCATCACCAAGAAAGCTAGGCTCCCTGTTCTGGACCCACTCCATCTACCCAGGCCCCACCCTGGCTGGAACATTCAGTGGCCAAGCTGACCAGCCAGTAGCAAGTGAATAAAGCTTTACCTCCTCTGGGCTCTCTCCTACCCTGGGATCCTGGCACAGTAGAGCCCCCTAAAGGGCAGAGGGATGGCCCCAGCAGCTCCAGCCCATGACACTGACACTAGAGAGGCCTGGCTGGAGCCTTCCCCTTCCCTCATGTGAGAGTTGCTACATCTTAGTCCTCAGCCCTCTCTATCCCTGGTCCCTCCTTCCCTCTAAATCTACCTCCACCCCTACTCAAGCATACATGGTCTCCGGCCCTTCCCTCTCTTCGCACCCTCCCATATCACTCTTAGGCCATGTTGGTCATGGAATTGGTCAAACTGGCCCTTAGAATTGACCCCAACATCCAGTCACCTGGGAACCACTTGGAAATACACACTCCAGGCCCCCCTCCAGCCCCCTTCCTCCCAATCAGAATCACATCCCATCTGCCTGGGGCTGGTGGGCTCTTTGTGAGGAGCTTTGGTAACGAATTTCTCACAAGACCACCTCGTTGCTTCTCCAGGACTGTTTCCTGCTCCCCGGGCCTCAGTCCCCACCCCAAGGGCACAGGCCTGGCCTCTTGTCTTCTCACCATGTGCTCTTGTCACACCCCACTGTGGCCTCAGCACTACTGCTCAGCCCACCCCACCCCCATTCTCCTGGGGACCCTATCCTAGCCACGGGCAAACCACTCCTGCTCTCTCCCTGCCCTCTACCTGCTCATTCTGAGCTGATGGCCTGAGCATTCTGGCCATTGTTCTAGTGGAAATGGCACCTGGGCCCTTCGCCCTCAAGTCCATGCAGTCAGGCCAGGCCTGCCTGCCCCTCTAACTCTCCAGTGTTCTCCAGACAGGCCTCTTCCCTGCTGAAGCAGGAGTGCCACCTCTCTGGGAAAGCACCCTTGTTCTCTCTGAGGTCCCATGCAGCCACCTGAAGAGGTATCAGCCCTGCTTGGCTGTGTGGAGGGTTCCTGGGCCCCTCTGCCACCACCGTCTGAGCCGTGGGATTCATGGGGCTTATTTTTGTCCCTCCTCCCCCAGCACAGTGAGGCCTGCAGGTGCTGGAGGAGGCCTGCAACAGAGGGACCAATCTGCAGCTGTTCACTGACAGGCACACACCCAAGCAACCACCAGGTGGCAGTATTGTCCTGGCCATTGCTGGGAGCTGTTGTCTTGGGCCACTAGCTTACTAAAGCAGGACGGGATGGTGTCCTGTGTCCACAATCATCACAAGAGGGCCAGAAAGTAGGGGGTTAAGGGGCTTCTCTGAGGGGCACCCTCATAGCCACCAGATGCTCAATGAGTGCTTGCTTGATGCAAAGGATGGGCCTTGGTCCACCCTGGGAGTAGCAGGTCACACCTCACCTTAGAGGTGAGTCCATCTAGACCCAGAGAGGGGAGATCTGCCTGAGGCCTCCTGCAGCATCAGCCCTCCCTCCCTCCACCCTTCCTGGCAACAGATGCTGTCAGGTAGGACCACGTTATACCTTGTGGTGCAGGACCACAGGCCTGTCTTGAGCAGCTTCTTAGTCATGCACTGCCCCTCAGGCCCTCTGGCTCTTGGCTGCTCCCCTTTCTCAGGAGGCCTTCCTTGCTGCCAGCAACTCACTATGGGCCTATGGTAACGCTGCTGGGCCCTGCTTGACCAGTGTGCCTGGATGCAGGGGCATAGGGCCTGTTCTAATTTGTTTCTCCATTGCTGTGACAATGGTGACAGAGATAGGAGCTCAGGGCAGGAACCTGGAGGCAGGAGCTGGAGCACAGGCCATGGAGGAACGCGGCTTACTAGCCTGCTTTCTTATACAATAAGTGGCTGGGCCCTCCCACATCACTCAACAATCCAAAAAAAAAAAATTCCTCACAGACTGCCCACAGGCCAGTTTAATGGAGGAAATTCCCCAGTTGAGGCTCCCTCTACCCAGGTGTATCAAGTTGACAACTGAAGCTGTCCAGCACAGGGCCACACCACCTGGCTGGGGTCTGTATCTTCTTCTGCTGGGATTTAACCACACCCTCCTTCCCAGGCTGCATGCTTGGTGGGTGTCCTCTCCAGAGTGGCCAAGTTCAAAGTTGGTGGCTCTGCTTGGACCTCCTATTTTCTATAGGGAAGCCCTTTTTATGGCTGACCTCAACCTATACCCTGGCCTGACCATTCCTTTCTGTCCCCTCCTCTTCCCACAGTATGAGTACAGCTTCCGCACAGAGCAGAGCGCAGCGGCACGGCTCCCACCCAGCCCTACCCGGTGCCAGCAGATCCCCCAGTCCTGAGGAGCCCATGGCCTTCTGAGGGAGAAGATGCCTCCTGCCCAGTGCCCAGACTACTGATGGGGTGGCTGGGGTGTGGGTCACTCCCTCCCTCACCCGCCCATCCTGCCTGCCCTCCCCACTGATCTAGACACTCTGGGCAGCTGAGTGGTCACATTGGCTTGCCTGAAGAGACTCCCCTGCCTCCCTGGGGGTGTTGTTCATAATTGCGACTAATCTGTGTGTGCTATAGCGACCAGAGGCTCCTAGCGTGTCTGTGTGATGACCACTTATCCTGCAAAACGTCTTTACCCCCACCCCAAGAGTCACCTCCAAGGGCCTGGACTCTTGCTCCAGCTGCCCAGTGATGCCCACTGGCTCCCCTTCAACTGACCATTACCCACTATGGGAATCCCACAAAGCCGTTGTCTCTCTCCCGGAAGATCTGAGTTGGCACTTCACACAGGACCCCCCTGCAAGAGACACTGACCACCTCTGACCCAGGCCAACAGGTTCAAGTGGCCCATGTTTTGCAGTGACCCTGAGAAAATGGGACCCTACTTCACTCCAGACAACTGTGGACTCTCCCTCATTGCGCACACAGGACATCCAGCGACCACACAGATGATATCTCACTTTCTGTGGAGGTGACCGAGTGCCTGCCTGGATGTGAACTTGGCTACCAGGGTGCTGCACTTGGCCCCGGGTGCTGAACTTGGCCTCGGGTTCTAATTCCTGCAAAGGGCTCCCCTGCCAGCCGCCTGCCAGCAACAACTCCACCCTCCTCAGCCTGGTGCCCTGACCTGGTTACTGACATAGGGCAGATTCTGAAAGACACAGTACCAAGCCTTGCAGGGACTCAGCACAAGGGCACCAAGTACACTCAGCAAAGCCCACCTCACTGTGTCTGCAGCATCTGCTAGCAGGATCAAACATGTTGTTTTGAACAAAAGTCCCTCTGTCCCAGGCCTCTGAATTTGGGTCAGAACTAACACTTCTTCACAAGTGTCCATCTGAGGTGCCAATTTCAACCCCCCATGCATTGCCATGAGAACAGTGGTCACTACTGTCCCAGACACTGAGCCTCACCCTGATGGGCTTCTTTGCCATGATTGGCTATTGGAGTTTGTCTAACATCTGTCCATTGAAGGTCTGTGAATACAGGAGTGTGTAGAGTGGTCGGTGGCTGGAGTGTGGGTAGGCTGCGGGCAGCGGCTGCATCAGTCCGTACACACCTTGCCAGTGCAGTTCAGAGATGGCCACAGGCAGCTGGGCAGCTGAAGAGGAAGAGCCAGCCAACAGGATGGCTATGGGCCTGGGCAGGGCCAAAAATACCTCACCTGTCTGCATGGGCCCCTCAACTCCAGACCCTCAGGCCCTTTCATGGACCAACCTTCCTCCATCAGCCTCACCATTTGGTACTTCGTTAATATGTGTTAGAAATGATCACCTCACTTCCCCCAAGATCCGGGGGTGACCACTAGCCCCTTGCCTATGGGCCCCAAGAACCTCCCACAGAACAGGAAAAGGGAGTTTACCTGTCAGAGGCCCATGGGCTCAGCATAGGGTCTCTGGTGGGACTTTGCTGGTGCTCAACCAGGACAGAGTTGATGAACTGTCTCCAGATGGTGCCACAAAAAGCTGGGGAGCCCAGGACCTGTGTCTACTGCTGCAGGTCTAACCCCAAATGGCCTGTGTGACCTGAGGTCCAGCAGAGAGGGAATGACCTCAAGTGGTCTGAGGGGACGATGGGAAAGTTGGGGGCAGAGCTCCAGGCTCTCCTGGACACTTCATTTTGGTTTGTACACTTTGTCCCTCAACGTCTTTCCACTCCCCAGTTGTGAAATCATCTCCACCAGGTGACCCCAGATGACCCTCACACCTCCCTTCATGGAGAACATGAGTTCTCAGCAGCTCCTATAGGCCCTGGAATACTAATGTGACCACGAGGGACCCTCTGCCAGTGATCAAGAAGGCCAAACAAGGGGTCCTTGGAGACAAGATGGTGCTGCAGCCCATTGATTCATCCCTAGAGACTCATGGCCACCAGGAAGAGGGCAAACTGCTCCAACAAGCTGGAGAGACCTCAGAGGCATGGAGGACGTAGTTTAAGAATAACTTTGACTGTGAACGTCACAGCCTCCACAGCTCTGGTAATGAAGCAGAGGTGGTGGTAAGGTCAAGGTGGTGTCTGTGGTAGGTTCTAGTCAGCACCCAACCCTCCTGTTCCTCATCTTCTGAGAGGTGGTGGTAGTGTGTGTGTCGTGTGTAAGTGTCCACCCAGTGTGAAGTACCTCCCAAACCTGGGAGGTGGGGGCTGTGGCTCAGGCCAGAATTGAGTGGCCTGTCCTGTGTTATGGAGAGAGCTTTTCTCCACCACCCCATGGCCACTGTGGGAAGGGAAGCACAAGGATTCTTTGGGAGATAGGAAAAGCAACAGCCTCTCTCTTAGATCCCCCTCCTCCACCAGCATGTCCCACTACAGCTGCTGTCCCTGCCCATCATACCTGTCTGTCCTAAAAAGACTAACCAGAGCACAGCACCCCAGCCCCACTGTCCCCACTCTGAAAATTCAGTTCCTTTCTCACAGCCTTGGAAATGGCACACAGGGTAACAGAAGGTTTCCTCCAAGTCACCTGCAAATTTTTCAGAAGGCCTGTTTCCTGCCCCATGTCCAAGAATTGATGGCAGCCCACCCTGTGCTACTTAGATTCAACAGCCCAGACTCAGGGAAGAAAGAATAAGTCAGCACCACCCTACCTTCCTGATGGCCAGAGCTGTGTAGCCACCCTGTGGCCAAGGTCATTTTGCCAGGAGAAGATATAGGCTGATTGGCAACCCCTCTGTCAGAAGGGCGTGAGGACACGGGGCCTGAGGGACTGAGCAGCAGCATCCCACCCCCACTAACACCAGGCTGGGCAGCCTAAGCACATTTTCTCTATCCTTCCCCTCTAAACAAGCCCAGAAGGGGGTGCTCTTTGCTCCCTGTCACAGATGAAGCGCCTGAGGTACTGCCCCAGGCACAAGCTGGCCTGGGGCAGAGGTAAGATCTGACCCCAAGACCCCTGGGCCAACCATTCTATCTTATGACACATCTCAGACTGGCCTTTGTGTCCAAGCCTGTGATGAACTTATTCTGTCACCAAGTCACCGCACCATGGCAGTGGGCACTAGGCATGGATCAGGCCAGGAGCCCTCCTGCCCTGCTCCTCCCCATTCTAGCTGTCAGCTGCTCCAATCCCCTGCCACCTTTGGGGACTGCCAGCCAGGGAGGAGGGTAGAAAGGTCTTGACAAACAGCTACATGCCACCAATCCATGCAGAGCCGAGCTCATGAAATTAGTTTGTGTCCATCTGACCCCAGAGCCCAAGGAGGAGGCCCAACACCCGCTGTACCCAGGCCCCCTCCCAGGTGGCCTGGGCACCTCGAAGCAGCCCAGCTTGCTTCACCTACTCTGGGCACAGGCATCTGAGCAGCTGCAACCATCACCTCCAGGAGCCCAGCTTTGTTCTCCCTTCAAAGGCTTGTGAGCTGCCAGGCCACTGTGTGGTGCTGGGACATGGAGTGGCCTCCTTTCCTGCATATTTATTCAAGGTGACTTCTTGGCAAAGGGAGGTTTCACTGTGTGGTTGTATTCTTAATATAATTTGTTAAATAAACGTTTTAACCTCTTTCTCCCAGTTTGCTGTTGTGTCTGAAGCCACCAGAGGCTAGTGTCCCCCAAAGGAGGCCCAGTGCCCGGCTGCAAGCCATCTCTACTGCTGGCCAGCGCTCTTCAAGAGCAGGTGGCCCCTACGCATGCCTTTCAGCCTTTTAGAAGAGCTGGTTGGCTGTCAAGGGAGTCAGGAAAGCTGCTGACGCCCTTGGCAGTGGCCTTTAGATGCTCCTAGGAGAAATCCTGTGGCTGCGAACACAAGGCCTGTGAGGAATGCAGAAGGCGCTTTCATCCCCTGCTGCCCCAGCCCTGTCTGTGGCCGCAGGGTGTGTCTGGCTATCAGAGCATCAGGGACACAGCTCCAGGTGCTTTGGGGCCTGTCCTGACTGCTCCCCTGCCACAGGATGCCACCATGAACCGAGAGAGACAGCCACAGGCCGACACACCTGCAGGGATCCTTCCCTGAGGGGCCCCCAGTTCAGGTTTCATTATCATAGCTGCTCCCCTCAGCCATGACCTCAACATCACAGGGCTCCAATCACAGCCTGGCTGTCACCATCTCCATGCCACCCTTGGTGGGAAGGAGCCAGAACAGGTGACCATTGACTTGACTCAATTCTCTTGGGCTCCCCCAAAGTTTAGCGACAACTTCATCCCTGCAGCCTCCACTCTCTAGCCCTTGGGTCTTATTTCCCACATAGCAGTCAAGAGTTCCATGAGGGAGGGAGAGCACAGCACCCCAACATCTGTGAGAAGATCCAGGCTGGGTGCTGGTTCTGGCTCTGTGGCCCTCTTCAGCTCATCCCTAAGAACACTTAGTGACAGCAGTTTTCCCCTGGGAAGATGGAGGGAGTGGGATGATGTTGAGCACATGGCAGAGGCTGAGTGACATGTAGGCCTCTCTCTGGGGCCTGGGCAATTTGTCACCCAGCCACAGAGTAGAGAGTCCCTCCTTTGCCCTTGGTCATGGAGGGCAGAGGCCTTAGGCACTACTTGGGAAGACAGACTGATACCCAAATGCCCAAGGCCTATGAGCTACATCCATGGCCACCAGCCTAGGCCAAGGTGGGCAGAGTGGTTCAAGCCAGGACGTGAACATGGAGCCCAAGCCTGATGCTGCTGTGTCCTGGGGCGGGGGGGGGGGGGGGG